AAAAGAGCCATCTTCTAAACCCGATCTTTTAGAATTATTGCGTCAAACATGGCAAGAAATCCCTCAAGATGATATTCGTGAACTCATCGCTAGCATGCCTAGAAGGATCCTTGCATTAAAAAAAAGCAAAAGGGATGTCAACCAAGTATTAGTTATTAAATTTATGACCATTTATAATTACTTCATTTGTATAAATTACTTGTTTAATAAAATAAACGGTTTCTGTAAGCGTCTATTCAATTCTGTCATGTCTGTGTATATTTGTAGAAAACAGCAGCAATTTATACAAAAGAGGAAAAATAGAGAAAAATTTAAGAAGTGAGTATAAAATGTAAAAAAAAAACCCAAAAAACTATGAATAGGAAAAATAATGACGATATTCTTCATATACGGGCAGACGGGCGTATGGGCACAAGAGCGCAACACACACACGCACGCACACATAAACTTACATCAGTATAAAAATCGCGAAGTATATGCAGTCAGTTGCTGATACGACCTGACGAGTGGACGGAGTGCTTCCCATATATCAGTCTACGAAACTCTTGATTTGAGACGTTGAAGGTAAAATCAATTAGCTCAGTGACAAACATTTCACATCTGTTAATTCTCTCTCTTTTTTCACTGTGTCTCTCTCTATACACAAAACAAACAAAGCTCACGCGCGGACACACACACACAGGCCAACACACACACACACACACACACACACACACATATATATATATATATATATATATATATATATATATAATAGCCCACATTGAGTGATGGCGTTAATAAAAATAGTGTTAGACGTCAATATAACATAGCAATAAACTATATATCATAAATGGATATAGATTTTTTTCTCACCAGTAGTACAACTCATGAAACTCAGAGTTGTGTTACCGGAGAATAATATATATATATATATATATATATATATATATATATATATATATATATATATATATAACAGGTCCAGGTCGGGCCTGACAAGGCACATAAAAAGACTGATTGGAAGTAATTATGTTCAAAGTCAAATTCCACCACCCGGAGTTGATTTGACATGCCATACATGTAACAACACATGCAGATCGATGACTGGCTTTCATAAGGCATTGTCGTTCACGCAATAAATGAATGCAGTGTTTTTGCGGGAGTTTAAATGATGGACTGGACATGCCAATGATGGTCATACTCACTTTGTGGGTCAAAAGCCACTCTCTCACTCACTATCTCTCTCTCTCTCTCTCTCTCTCTCTCTCTCTCTCTCTCTATCTATCTATTTATATATATATATATATATATATATATATATATACTAGCAGTAGATCCCGGCATTGCCCGGGTATGTAACCGTAAGTGTTGGGGACGGCTGTTGCTTTGAAAGATGTGCTTTGTAAGTCGACAGGAACTAAATTTCAACAAAACGTTGAAACGCAATGCACACAAAGTTTAAGCAGACATCACACAGGCCCAAGTATTCGATGGTATCGAAAGAAGTAACGGAAAGCCATTGTAGCATCAGTCATTTGCCATTACTAAGACATCTGTGAGTAAAAGCTGGCAGCAGTTACTGCTTTAACCAATTGGATAGTTAAGCATTACTGGAAGCACTTGTGGTAAGTAGTCAAGAAACCACGATTCACTTGCAACATTTCATAGGGACTGAAGGGAATACGTGCCGTGAGGAAGCCATAGCCATAAAGTATGTGCCGTGCGCAATCACAAACAAACCGCTTGTCTAACTAAAAGACGCGTCGTATGCCAAATAAAAGGCGCTGCCACGACCACAAAGCAGAACCGTAAAACCGAGAGAAGAGCGAACAGTGACGGGGTATCATGGTAAGAATATTTCTGTGATATAACTTCCTTTATTGCGATCGGTCACTATCTACATCGCGACTGAGAGCCCTTAAAACCGCAACAGGAGTAGCCGTATGGCCGAGAATCGTAATTGCAATGGAGAAGTGCCATCTCTTCAGTTGCAGTCAACATCACAGCTGAGAGCTTATGAAACCAGACCGGGGTCGCCGTACGGCCAAGCGCCTCAATTGCAATAGAGAAGTGCCTTCTCGTCAGTCGCAGTCAACATCACGGCTGAGTGCTTATGAAAACTGACCGGGGTTGCCGTACTTGGCGTGTGTTTTTAGGTTTTTTCCACGACTACAAACAAACAAAATAATAGAGCCGTAAAGTTTATATGGAAGCAGAAGCCTGAATTTCGTAGATGCACTCGACTTTTGTGACAATTAAACGTGTGAATGTGCTTGTATGCACTGGTACGAACTGCAGGTGCTCCGATCAACTGTTAATGAAACCGAAACTTTAGTGGAGCAATCATGTCTCATGCCGGTGTTCATGTGTCTAGCAGCCCGTGTTGCAACCGAATACGGTGAGGTTACCATAGTTTACAAACAAACTCGATGATGGCGGGTGAATGTATGAAAGTCAGAAAGCAGAAAAAGAGCTGGATAACCTTTACAAAGATGTCTTAGTAATGACAAGTGGAGACGACGACAACCTAACGTTAAAACCAATATGACAAACGAAAAAATTACCATGCAATCGGACTGCATATGTGTGCATGGCGCTTAAACGCTACCGGGCGGTTTGTCTACAGGACCTCCGTGTAGGTTATGTTTCTAGCACAGTTGTTGGGAGAGTAAATGAAAACCCTGTCCTTAGACCAAACTCGTGAACACCCAACGTAAAGTTGGCCGGGAGAGAAGCACTGCTCACGTAAATGCAAACCTGCGATGCTAAGCGTCTGTCCTTGTGATTTGTTTATGGACATAGCAAAGCAAAGCTTCACGGGAAATTGTGAGCGACGAATGTTGATTGGTATGCTTGCGTCTGACGGCAGAAGATGCATCCTGGGAATCAGAACGATTTCCCCGTTGCCGCAGTCAATTGCAATGGTCGCCTGAAAGGGATTTAATAATGAGGCGAGTCCCGTTGCACTGTTTTGGTGGGAGCAAATTCCTGATTAGCATAATCGGAGCACCAACGTTGCAGCAATCCCGGATGATGCGACCGCAATAGCGATCCCCCCACGACGCCGTACCTCTGCCAGGACTAATTTAGTAACAAAAGTTTTGCCAGCTCCTCTATCTGTTATGGTAGTGAAAGCAACCCTCTGATCAGGTAGAAGTATGGGCTCGTTTTCGGTAATGTATGCGTTCAGCCCCTCGATGGAGTAGGATGTTTCCCGTAATAACTCAGTTGGTACAATGTCAAAACCGTCTCTGAGCGGTGATGGTAAACTGTAAGTTTGTTAAGAGGCATCTCCCCGTTCGAAAACAACATCTAGGGTCACCATCGCTCTGTTGAATATGAAGTCAGTGAAACCGCATTCAACTCCTCTGTTACGCTGAACGGAGAACAGCACATCCTCTGACAAGGTTTCTCTGGATTTTGCCAGAGCGACAGAGGATCGCTTAGTTCGCATCGAAAAAGCAAAATGGCGAACAGCGTTCGAAGCCGTGATGGCGTTCTGAGAAGTTCACCCCCCGCCATGGCTGCATCCCACTGGGAGTCGTCTTCAAGCAATCCCAAACAAAAGCATGCCTCTCTATAAGACTGGCACTCTATGCCGTTGACAGTGCGAATATCTGTGAAATTCATTGGCCCAGCAATTTCATGAAGTAGAAGGCGGAAGTCAAAGCACTCCTGCTGGCGGTGGTGGGGGGCGCAGTATAAACGCGTCCAAGTCAAGTGTTAGACCTTACATCGGGATAACCCTCGTCAGGGTCGCCAGCCTTTCGCCGAACCCACCGGTTGTTTGACCACACGTAGTAGGACGGGACTTGGGGGTATAATGTTTTGGCAAAAGCATCTGTTGAGCATAATTTAAAGAAAGCCGTTAGGGTTGTGTCTTTAGGGTTTGCCGCAACCGGCTGGGCGTTTTCTTCGGTGAAGTACATCCTCTGTCCATTTTCTAAGTTAATGGCAAGCTGCACAATGGCTGGATCCCTTTGGTGTATGAGGAATCCAAAAATTCGCCAAAAGACCTCGCTACTGCTGAGGTAGCGTCCAGCCACGTAATGGCCACCTCGTCAACGCAATTGTCGCGCCGGATACCGAAGACGTCAGCATCGCTGCCTTTATTAACGTAATTGCAAATGTACTTTATTGACTTAACCGAGTGGCAGTATTCAACGTTTATGTGGGCTCCAAAGGTCTTGGACAGCAGCGGTCAATAAGGCACCACCCAACGATTATCCAGAGTGTGCCCCTTAATTGTCAAAGTTCTGCCGCCCTCAGCGGGGATTCTACGCCTGTACAGTGGGTAACCATCCGTCGCAGTCTGCGTTTCTGATATAAACTTACAGGGGTAACCCTTTGCGCAAGTGGGGCCGCTTAAACAACATGACCATTTATCATAATTCGCGCCACAGGGACCGTATATCATATTGTTTTTAATGATTTCGTGGAGCAAAGGATCCAGCACAGGATACGGAATTTCAGCAGAAATAAAATCGTCTATTTTATTTGGGTCAACCTTATCGTTGAGCCACAGCAGAATGTGGGCATGAGGCAAACCGCGTTTCTGCCGTTCCACTGTATACTTAATGCGTCCGAAGACTTAAGGATTACACAGCTGTAACCGGAAAACGCGGGCAATTAGGTCAGGCCGGTGTGAGTACTGCTGACCTGGGAAAAGTTCGCGTGTGTTGACGGCATACTTCAGAATTTTCTGCAGCCCTGGCAGACGCAGTAGAGCGGGCATTTCTAACGCGACGAACAGTGTTTTGTGCAGGGCTTTCTAGGGCTCTAGTAGATGCAGTGGAGCGGGAATTTCTAACGCGACGAACAGTGGTCTGTGAAGGGCTTTCTAATGCTCTGGTAGACGCGGTAGATAGGGTATTTTTAAAGCGACGATGAGCGGTTTCCTGGGGTTGTTCCGAAGCTCTAGAGGCGGCTGTAGCCCTAGTATTCCTAAGAAGACATGAAGTTGTTTTTTATCGCGGTTTTCTAAACCCCTGGAGCAAGGTTTGGCTTGAATTCTGAAGTGAACGTTCTTCAACTGAAAGCCTGGCGCGGCGTGCGGACATGGTTGAAGCCGCTGAAGCCAACCTTTCAGTCAGCGCAGCGGCGCTTTCCGTAGATAAGCGAGTAGCTGAGATCGAGGCCATCCGTGAAAGACGCAAAGAAGTCTGTTCAGGGGTTTCACTCGCCCTCGCTGCTCTAGCAGCGGAGGAAGCTGCTGTGCGCCGTCCCAAAAGCTTCCTCCTTTTAGGTGGCATCCAAACAGTAAAAACGTCAAAGAGGGTGACGCTTAAAAAGAGATTTCGACAAATCCCAAATGAAAAAACCTGCACTGCTAACGTAGACACAAAAAGGTGAACACTCATTGAAATGAGTTCAGATGTTACTCAAGGGGAACTCGAAACTAAAAAAGTGGAAATTTAAAAAGGTAAACCAAGGGTAAATCCAAAAGGAAATGGGTTTGTAGTACAATTGGCTAACGTGTGTGGGGTTGGGTTGGAACTATAAAAAAATAGCAGCTAGAACATGTAATCAACAACTTGCGGTGTCCGAAGTAGGCGAATAAATTAAGACAAGTGCGTGCCCGCGGGCAACAATAAACGCAAAAGTGTGAAAGCACGCCCGAGTCACGCAATACAGGTGGTTGATCTTGAGCGCACTTACACATAAACTGATGCGCTATAACGTGTGAGAAATCCCGCGCGATGATTGGACATGCCCCAAGGTCAAGCTCTGTGAAAGCGACCAATGGGCTTGCAGCAGTCTCGATGTCGACACGCGGAATTAGTTGTACGCAGCTGTGTGTGTGTAAGGGAGTTACAAAACAGATTGATCCGCGTGCAGCTACGGTTATTTTTGCCAAAAAATCTGAAATTTGACACACATAAATGCGATAGTAAGCCGCAAGTTTTGACAGTCTTGCAAACAATTTGGTACTTGTTAGATAGCCAAGCGTTAGTGCTATCAGAAACTGGACAATTTGCTTTGTTTTAGTGGTTCGGTAACAAAACATCGTCCAAAGACTGCGAAAAATCTGCATAAATGGCCCTTACCCGTGTTTTCAAATTGATTTCGTGCAAAAACAATTGTGTTTTTCCAATTCTTGGTGCTGTCAGAACCACCGCCGGGTAATTTTACTTAGTCCTGTGAAGTTTTGTTGAAATCGGGTCAAAAATGTAGGAAATCCTATCCAATATATAACCGAACAGACACACACACAAGATTGGTTTTATAATAAGTATATATATATATATATATATATATATATATGTGTGTGTGTGACTGTCTCTGTGTGTGTCTCCTGGCGTAGAAATCGAATATCATGATGAAAATTAACATCAGTACAGGAATTGAACCTGTTTTCTCTTTCGTACCAGGTACACCGCATTCTGTCTCAGCGTGCTTTACAATTAAGCCACAATAAACCATTGGAACAGAGTGATTTTTTTTCGTTTCTTAGGTTAACTTTTTTGGAAATTTCTGTATGACACTGGTGAACGCGTAATGTCAACATCCAGCTGATTTCTACATTATCACAATCTATCTATCTATCTATCTATCTATCTATCTATCTATCAGTAGCCGCATTCTTTCGATTACATTTATTTATCTTCAAAAAAATGAGAAGGGCCTTCCGTATTTTTGATACACAACACACAGAATGAATACCGGAATACTGTATTTGATTTTGCGTATAGGTTGTATTTTCCCTTTAGTTTTCCAGTGTAACATAAGGTATAGTAGAGATGTGGCTTTTTTATCACTAAATATTAAATTATATAAGAGTTTGCTTGAGCTGTCATCATCTGTCTGCTGGCCTTTGGGGAAAGCAGCAAACTTCCTGAATAGAAAAGATGTAATATAAATAGTATTGACTCGAGCTTCGTATGAATGACGTTGTTGTATTCTTGATCCAATTCCCCTGCTGCGGTGGACAGGCGTCTCAGTTCATTTCAAAGGATATTGCGTACCTCATTGTTTTATTTCAAACAGACGACAAAATAGCAAATGTAAAGAAGACGACACAAAAAATAGAGAAGACGAATAAAGTAGAAAAGCAAAGAAAATGTTGAACTAAATCTAAATAGAAAAAAAAAATCACCGTTGGTAAATTTCAATAGTTATATGACGACAATTAGTACGAATGGAATGTATGTGGGTCATGAAAGTAAGCACCGTGAACAGGAGACGTCCCGGATTTAGATAAGATATCAAGTCTTTGTCTATATTTCTGAGATGAGGTTTTATGTACATTATTTACATTATTCGGACTATTGTCCTCATCTTTGTCGCCATATTTGTTACAAAGTTTCGGCCGTTGTACGCTCCGGCCTTCTTCAGTATCTGTCTATGTTTCTGAGATGAGGTTTTATGTACATTATTTACATTATTCGGACTATTGTCCTCATCTTTGTTGCCATATTTATTACAAAGTTTCGGCCGTTGTACGCTCCGGCCTTCTTCAGTATCTGTCTATGTTTCTGAGATGAGGTTTTATGTACATTATTTACATTATTCGGACTATTGTCCTCATCTTTGTTGCCATATTTATTACAAAGTTTCGGCCGTTGTACGCTCCGGCCTTCTTCAGTATCTGTCTATGTTTCTGAGATGAGGTTTTATGTACATTATTTACATTATTCGGACTATTGTCCTCATCTTTGTCGCCATATTTGTTACAAAGTTTCGGCCGTTGTACGCTCCGGCCTTCTTCAGTATCTGTCTATGTTTCTGAGATGAGGTTTTATGTACATTATTTACATTATTCGGACTATTGTCCTCATCTTTGTTGCCATATTTATTACAAAGTTTCGGCCGTTGTACGCTCCGGCCTTCTTCAGTATCTGTCTATGTTTCTGAGATGAGGTTTTATGTACATTATTTACATTATTCGGACTATTGTCCTCATCTTTGTCGCCATATTTGTTACAAAGTTTCGGCCGTTGTACGCTCCGGTCTTCTTCAGTATCTGTCTATGTTTCTGAGATGAGGTATTATGTACATTATTTACAATATCCAGACTATTGTCCTCATCTTTGTTGCCATATTTATTACAACGTTTCGGACTTTGTACGTTCCGGATTTCTTCAGGTGGTTGGAATGTCGAACTGAACCCTTTATTTCACTCACACTCAAGTGGTAAAGGCGTTGGTTATATCCAGTGACAGGACCCAAAGAGTGTGAGTTTAATACCCGGTTAAGGCAGTGGAGAACTTGGAGAGGGGGATTAACAGGATATAACTGATAACTGACATCCATTAAACATATCATGTGGAACTAAAACAGTCTGCCCAGTGAGCGAACTATAGGGTTCAGTTCGACATTCCAACCAGCTGAAGAAGGCCTAAAAAATATGGCGACAAAGATGAGGACAATAGTCCGAATAATGTAAATAATCTATATCAAGTCTTATTTGCAATTTTTAAATCATTTCATCTCAAGCAAGGGATAAAAGACAGTAGGATGTAACGGGTTACTGAGAGTAAGAGAAGCAGAGTAGACATTAAAACAACGGGCGGCAATGAGACAGAAGATGGCGATTGAAGTAGCTTTCTCTCTGAATTCCTGGGAATAGGAGTTATTATTTACGCTATTTCTATTCGGGCTATTGTTCTTATCTTTGTTGTTTTTATCACAATGTTGAAGGGTCTTTACCTTGATGAAGGCCGGAGGGCGCAACGGCTGAAACGTTGTGATAACGAAATGCCTTGTTTGATAGGTTGTCGTCTTCCGTAAAGAAAAAAGAAGTGTGTATTTTGGACATTAAACCGTTAGCATCTGTCAGATTTTATCCGGAATAAAAATGATTCATTTAGAAGCATGTATATTGAGAGTGCGTTGATCTCACAATTCTTGAGAATAAATCTAAGTTCAAAACTCCGAATATAAATAACGTCAAAATTGATATAGAATTTAATATTTTTGAAGATAGTATTTACCACGGAACCATGACAGGAATGCGTGAAAAGAAACTGTTAGCATAGAAATTATAGTGACAATTAGTAATTTTAAAAGTGAAATTATGGGCAGTTGCTGCTAATCTAATTCTGCGCTTAAAATTGTGATGCCAGAACAATTAATATAAAAACCATTACTTTTTTATATTACAATAATGATATTACAATAATGACATCAAAATTCAGTGAAGTCATATGCCGTAGAGAAGCTCGGTGGAAGTGTCATTGGCATGAGGAGCATTACATATTCAGCTCGCTTCACGTGAGTTTCAATTACTTTCCAGTAATTTCCTTCTTAGAGAGTGATTTCTCTCTGAGTTTGTGAGATGAGGAATTACTATTATGTAGATTAATTATATGCAAATTTTTGTCTTCATCTCTGTTTGGTATTATCACAACGATTTAGTTGTTAAACACTCCCGCCTTTACTTAGCTGCTTGTCGATCCAAGTAATATTTAAGGGTATTCAATATGTTTAATCTACGCTTGTAGATTAACTGCTGAGAACATCTACGGATATCTCTTTGCCTATATTTCGAGTCCAAGTATAATCTTGCCGGCCCAGTAGCTGGACTCAAAATTACAAACTTTGCCTAAACTCGAATTTTTTTAAAAAATATTTCGATATTTATTAAGCTGAGATAATTACAGTAAAGTAAGTGATTTCATAGTATCATGAAAAATTCTGCTGGCTTTGAAACAAAACATTTCGATATTACAGACTTTTGCCTTAACGCGAACACCGACCTATAATACCGTGTGAAATACTCACCGATATCGATGTTTAGGAAACATACCCTATCATGTCACAAATAAGGGCTAACATAGTGTAACGCCAGTCGTGACAATAAGGAATATCTTCCATGAAAAATCGAATTTTGATTTCCGCTTTTCATCCCAATTTTTACATAATTTCCCGACATTTTTAATTTTCCCGTGAAAAATACTTATCTCATACATGCCAATCATTTCTCCAATCTTTTCGTTAAACAGTCGTCTAATCAAATATGAAAGGAATAAGAATGTTTTCCGACCAGGACGTGTTGTGATAGTAATCTTCAAAAGAATGATAGCGGTCGTTAGTTTTCAGTTTGTACATAGGATTCTTGATATCGACTTGTGTTCAATTATTACGTTGAATATGTAGCGTTTGATTGGAACGGCTCTGCGAGCTTTACGGTGGTTGTTACAGTTTTTTGGGTATATAACTAGTGAGCGAGTCAAAATGACTTATTTCCCTTTATAGTCTACCAATAGAGGATTAACCAATCAGGAGCCACAGAACACTGTATCCGTCGTGTATAAAGACGGCCATCTTTGTTTTTCCTACCGGAAGGACCAGAGCCAACTTGTCAGGCGAACACGACAGAAGGAAGAACTACACTCTGCTGTGATATCCACTGCGAACCTGGACTACGCTTTGCTACTGTCTCCGAAAAATTCACTGCCAATCTCTGGATTCTATACTCGAGGACGACCGTCATGAAAATGTCTAACAGTGGTTAAAATAGTAGATCAAACAAACTGATTAAATACAATTTAATATTTGATACCCATCCCCACAAAATGCTTCTTTCACGATCAATCTTTATCTTGAATTTATCTTTTGTTCGTCTGAGTAGCAAAACGAATGATGTCATAATAATTTCTCATTTCAAGAATTCTGATAAATGTTTTTATTCTTGTAATATATAAACTATTCCTGTCTATTGAATGCATTGTCCAAATAGATTGTTCTGCATAAATAGAGAAGGGATTAGCATTATGTAGATTAATTGAGATTTTCCAAGCGTAGCTTAGATGTGGCACAAGGCCAAAAATATGGGGAACCCAGTGAAGATCGAACTCACTACTCAGTCGTAATTGTTCTAGCAAGACGAGTTTGCTAACCATTACACCACGCCGAGGTGCCCAGTAGTTATTTCCCTAGCGTAGCTTAGATGTGGCACAAGGCCGAAAGTATGGGGCACCTAGTGAGGATCGAACACACTACTCAGTCGTAATTGTTCTAGCAAGACGAGTTTGCTAACCATTACACCACGCCGAGGTGCCCAGTAGTTATTTCCCAAGCATAGCTTAGATGTGGCACAAGGCCGAATGTATGGGGCACCTAGTGAGGATCGAACTCACTTCAGTAGTAACTGTTCTAGCGAGACGAGTTTGCTAACCATTACACCACGCCGAGGTGCCCAGTAGTTATTTCCCAAGCGTAGCTTAGATGTGGCACAAGGCCGAATGTATGGGGCACCTAGTGAGGATCGAACTCACTTCAGTAGTAACTGTTCTAGCAAGACGAGTTTGCTAACCATTACACCACGCCGAGGTGCCCAGTAGTTATTTCCCAAGCATAGCTTAGATGTGGCACAAGGCCGAATGTATGGGGCACCTAGTGAGGATCGAACTCACTTCAGTAGTAACTGTTCTAGCGAGACGAGTTTGCTAACCATTACACCACGCCGAGGTGCCCAGTAGTTATTTCCCAAGCGTAGCTTAGATGTGGCACAAGGCCGAAAGTATGGGACAAGCTTGCTAACCATTACACCACGCCGGGGTGCCCATTATGTAGATTAATTATATGCAGACTTTTATCTTCATCTCTGTTGGTATCATCACAACGATTCAGCTGTTGAACATTCCCGCCTTTACTTAGATGCGTTTTAATTGATGAAGAGTTCAAATTTTAATTGAA